TAAAGAGTATAGCCGCTCAGCTGTACTTTTAAAATATTTGAATGTAATTACAAAGTATAGCCGTGCGGCATAATTTTTGCTTTGTCCAGGGCACGTGCAGCATCTGCTATGAGAGCTCTTTGCTTTAAAGTATGCTGATAATATCGTTGGCTAAAAATGTATGTGAATAATTTCACAATCTACTGTCTACTAGATCCCTCCACTAGTTTATGAATCTTCGAGGTAATTTATTTCATTAAAAAGTAAACTAAAGTCATAATTTCATTTAATATGGAGAAAGAGTACCAGAAGATGCATTATGCCATTACTCAGACCATTTTTTTTTAATTTCTTGCTGAAGATATGATAGAGATTCATGGTCATTTCAGAATCCTCATGGTGGCTTTGGATTATTAAGCATATCTTATTACATGGGCTTCTTCTTGTTATAGCAATAATATGCTGATAATATTGCAGAAGCCTAGGGAATATGATTTGATGTGGTAGAAATAGACCAGCAGCTTGACCAAATGAGAATACACACTACTACAAAAAGTGAAAAAGACGACCACAAAAACACGACGGTCTACGTGAAAACCGTCGTTGTTTTTTAAAAGACGACGGTTTTATAAAACCGCCGTGTAATAACACATTAGACAACTAAAAAATGGAGTTTCAAATGGCTGTTCCAAAAACACGACGTACTTAATTTAAAAACCGACGTCTTATTGAAATATGATTTTCATGAGGTAAAATCATAGCCAACAAATAACGGCGGAAGTTATGAACCGACCGACGTAGAAAGTAAAGACGACGGTTTCAAAAAAAGCCGTCGTTTTTACCCAGAAATTAACACGACCAAGTTTTCGTATAAGGCGACGTAAAATTACAAATAAATCCACGGCGGTAAAATACAAAATACCGCCGTATTAAATTAATGTACAACTACGGCAAAGGTAAATATAACGACGTCTTTCTCGTATTTCTACGACGACATCTTTCAATCTTACCAAGTTGGGGTTTTCATATAACGACGTATTATAGAATTTAACGTCGTATTTGTCCACTTTATACGTCATAAATTATATTTAAACCGTCGTCTGAATAAGAATTTTTTTAAAAAATTTATTTCTTCGATTTTGTTATCCTACGTCGGTAGATCTACCTAACGACAAGAATTGAAATAACCACGACGGTTTATATAGAAAACCGCCGACATAATCAGATTATTCTGAGATCACAAGGGTTAGGAAATCTTACAAGATGGAACTCCAGATCTGTTGCTCATTATAATCTTACCAGAAAGACAATATTTTAGAGGTTAATGATGTATGTGTATTTGTGTCTTTGAGATACACAAACGCACATACACATTAACATCCAAAAAATTGCCTCTGAAATTTGACGACGGCAGCCTCAGATTTGCAATCAGAGAGACAATTTTTTGGAAGTTGATGATATGTGTGCGTTTGTGTATCTACACAAACGCACGCACACATCAACATCCAAACAATTGCCTCCTAAAATTTCACGACGGCAGCCACAGATTTGCAATCAGAGAGACAATTTTTTGGAAGTGAATGATGTGTGTGCGTTTGTGTATCTACACAAACGCACACACACATTCACATCCAAACAATTGCCTCCTAAAATTTCATGACGGCAGCCACAGATTTGCAATCAGAGAGACAATTTTTTGGAAGTGAATGATGTATGTGCGTTTGTGTATCTACACAAACGCACACACACATTCACATCCAAACAATTGACTCCTAAAACTTCCCAAGAGATGAGGTGAGACAGAGAAAGGGGCAAGAAGAAGTTGAAACCCTAATCGAATACTAAAACTGAAAGAACCCGTGGAAAAAAACCCTATTTATAATTAAAAAACCAAATCCACGTCGGTTATATTACACATAACGACGTTTAAAAAAAACAATTCTCGTCGGTAACAAATATATTACGTCGTTTTATTCTTACTTAAAACGACAAGAAACGACGACGGTATAACAAAAACAGTCGTTGTTTTATATTTTTATTTGATTTAAATCAGTCACCTAGAAAAGAAACTTTACAAATTCTAGAACATTAATTTCCTCGGGAAAAAAAACTATATCTATAAGGCACTGTTTTTGAAAAATACACTATAAGAAAAAGGGGAAAAGAATTATATTTATAATAAAAAAATAAAATCCACGTCGGTTATATTACACATAACGACGTTTAAAAACGAATCCACGTCGTCGGAAAAATAATACGTCGTTTTAGTTTAGTGTTATCCACGTCGGTATATTACAATAAAACGACGTATATTATAAAAATAAACGTCGTAACTTTAAAACAACCGTCGTGTTAAATATTTCTACCATGACGCGAGATATTGAGTTATCGACTTTTATTTAGGAGTTTACTACGGCGGTACCTACAACACTACGGTCGTATTTATGTACCACGTCATAAGTTCAAATTAGCGTCGTAGTTTGTCTATTAATACGTCGTCGTTCTATGTAAACCGCCGTCTTATTACTATGAAACGGTTTGTATACATATACAACTTTTCGTCTACCTGACTTACACATGCACTGTTTCCAAACCCGAGAAAACATTTCAATCTCCCAGAGAAAACTTTTCGTCTTTTTTCCTTGTCAGAGCACTGTCAGAGTATCTCATCGTCTTCCTCTTGTCTTCATCGTCGCCTCTGAACTTAAACACCAAAATCCGAGAGAAAGCTTTCATTGCACGCAAAAGGTAAGCTTTCATTTCTCACTATTTTTGTTGCTATATTGCATGCTCATACTGTTTTTGTTTTGAAAATCTTTTTACCTTTTTTCTGGCGAAAATCATTTTTTTGTTTCCAAGTTTGATAAAATACACAGACAGAGAGGGAAAGATTGAACTTTGAACATAACTAACTCAACTAAATAAGACGACGGTAGCTTTTTATTTACGTGGTTAAATACGTAGACCACGACGGTTCGTCAGTCGTCCTAGCGTCGTCTTAAAATTGATCTAAGTTGTTTTTAAAATGACATTCAATTTTTTATTTGCTTGTTTAGTTGCAGGTTTGATTTCTCTGAACCATGGTTTTCGTTTTTCCTAATATGATAAAATACAGAGACAAAGAAAGTAGGGTTTGGTATCTTATATAGACGACGGTATCTTATTATTGACGCCGTGTGAATGTTCATACCACGACGTTATAATAAGATACCGTCGTCTATAAAAAGATGAGAAAGCTTTTTTTCTTTGTATTTTATCAAATTAGGAAAAACAAAAACCATGTTTCAGAGAAATGAAACCTACAATCAAACATTCACAAAGAAAGAAAATGTTTTTGGTTTCTTATAAATACGACGGTAGCTTATTATTCACGTCGTGTGAATATACATAACACGACGTTATATTAATATTTACGCCGTGTCAATATGAATATCACGACGTCGTGTAAATATCGACGTAATAAGTTCTTATTACGTCTTATTTAATATTTTTTCGTCGTTGTTTAAACATTTATATTGTTCTTCTTTAATCATTTATTACGTCTGATGTTATGTTATTACGTCGTGTAAAATCTTATCATACGTCGTAGTTTATAAATAACCGTCGTTTGTGTTCTAATTTTTTTCACGAAATATTTTCACTTGCAGGTTTGTTTATTCTGTAACCATGGTTTCTCAAGACCAAAGTAAGTACTCTGGCTCCAAAAAAATGGAGGTAAGGAGCTTGGAATGGTAACTCCTCAAGACAAGCCCTTGAAGAAGATGAAGTTTGTTTCATCTGCTGAGAAAGAACCAAGCAGCACGACAACAATTTCTGAGGATTCAAAGTCAGGTCGAGGTATGAGCACAATGCCTCGTGTTGTGAAGAGAAAATTGCAGAAAATCAAGCCAGTTGTTGAGTACAATAAAAGGGGGAAAGGATGTGGCCCTGCACATACTGAGATGCAGTCCTACATTGGTGTGTTGGCACGCTCCAGAGTCCCACTTGTGGACAAGAAATGGGCTGACATCCCCAATGATATAAAGGAGCAGATTTGGGAAGCCGTTGACATGGCTTTTGTGGTAGGTCAAGGGGGCAAGACCTCGGTGTTATCTTCTGCTGCCAAGAAATGGAAGGATTTCAAGTCTACACTGACGAGGCATTATATCCTTCCATACATCAATGAGAGGGAGAAATTAAGCCAACCCCCTGCAGTATATAAATTCATAGAGAAAGCAGAATGGGATGCCTTTGTAGCTTCAAGGTTATCCAAAGACTTTGAGTCTGTGCATTCTCAACATGCACAGATTAGGGAGAAACTTGAGTACAATCATCGATTGTCTCGAAAAGGATATGCTGGTTTGGAGGATCAATTGGAGGAAACCATGCCTGGGGTAGAAATTGATCGATCTACCTTATGGAAGAAAGCTAGACAGGACAAACTTGGTAACATCCCGGATCCAAAGGTGGCAGAGAAAGCAAAATTAATTGTAAGCCTACACACTCTGTTTTAAATTTTTATATTACTGTGTAGAATTCTTACTACGTCTTATATTATATTTTTTCCGTCGTGTGAATGATTTTACTACGTCGAAATATTTTAAAAACGTCGTGAAAGATATAAATCTGGAATCACAACTCTGTTTTCTGTAATTATAGCATAAGACGTCGGTGGTTAATGTTTTCCGTCGTGTTAATGTTATTACTACGTCGAAATGTTTTCAAAAACGTCGTGAAATATCTAAATCTGAAATCACAACTCTGTTTTCTGTAATTACAGCATAAGACGTCGGTGGTTTATTTATTGCGTCGTTTTAAGAAACTAACCACGTCGGTTTTAATTAACGTCGTTATAAAGATATTATAACGTCGATTTCTATATTGGTCCGTCGTGTGAAATTATATAATGCGTCGTTTGTTTATAAATAACCGTCGTGTATTTTCTTGTGCTGACTTTTTTTTTGTCTTTGTTTTAGGATGACTTGCAAAAACAAGTGGCTGAAGGCAGTCTGAGTATAACTGGCAGTAATGATGTGTTGACCATGGCTTTGGGTCCCGAGCATCCAGGGAGAGTAAGAGGGGTAGGTGCTGGGATTTCCCCTAGGCAATTCTTCAATTTACCTAGACCACAAAGGGTGAAGTTTGCTGATCAATTGAAGGAAAGTGTAAGAATTGTCCTTCAAGAAGAGACTAAGAAGATGGAAGCTAGAACCAAACAATTAGTAGAGGCTGAGAGGGAACATTTACTAAGTCAGCTTTCCCACCTCATCCCCAATTTTGATCCAAGCATGCTTAAACCGAAAACAAGTCCCATGAATCCAATGTCTGATAAAGCAAGCTGTTCTGGGGCTGACGTGAGATCCCTACATTTAGAGGATGATACTGCCAGAAATGGGGAACAGCAAGAACAAACGGTAACATAACTGAACTTTGAATTCCCTGTTTTTTTTTAACATTAGACGTCGTTATTATGAATAAACCCGTCGTTTTAAAACCATACCACGACGATTTTGTAAATAACCCGTCGTGTTTATTTAAATACCACGTCGTATTTAGTTTACTTGTTTTACACGCCATTAGACGTCGTACTTTGTGGCTTTTAGACGACGGTTTTTGTCCTCAACGACGTGATATAAAATTACCACGACGTTTATTATTTACCATCGTTTAATAATTTTAAGACGTCCATAATTCTTACATACCGTCTTATGTTATGCCTTACCACGACGTTTTGGTTTAATTTTTTTACTCTCTGTACAATCTGTCTTATATATATATTTCTTTATTATTTAAAACAGAAATCTGGGGCTTTAGATAATCAAGATGAAGAGAAGAGAGAAGAAAATAAAGATGAACAGAAGATGGGAGAAACAATTGATGAAGGGAAGAAGGAAGAAGAAAAAGAGAATAAAGATGAAGGCAAAGAGGAAGACACAAATGTTGAAGAGAAGAAAGAAGAAAAACAAGATGAAGAAAAGCATGACGAGGAGGTATATTCTCATAACTTTGCCTTTTTAATTTGTTTTTCACATTTCAGACGTCAATATTTTACTTTAAACCGTCGTTTGTTTTAACATTAGACGTCGGAATTTATTTTCTACGACGTAATAAATAATCTAAAACGACGGTATTTAATTACCGTCGTTTAAATTATAATCAGACGACGTTGTTTAATTTAAGCCGTCGTTTTTAATGAATTACCACAACAATTTATTTTGCTTTATTTCTTTAAACAGGGTGATGAAGTACTCGATTATTCAAATGTGGAGGTGCCATCTTCCTTACAATCCCTTTGTGGTTATGTGGAAACTACACTAAAGCCACAGGGGAAGATCATGACTTTCAACATTGAGAAGGAGGTGTTTGGTGCAGATCGAAGTACCTTCGTCTTGCATGAAGATATTACACAATTTGCAGGCATGGAAGAAATTGGGGCTACTGTGGTTGCAGTATATATGAGGTTTGTCCTAATCAAATATCAAACATTATATCATAAGACGTCGGTTGTTTAATTATTGCGTCGTTTTAAATCACTAACCACGTCGTTCTTTTTTACCGTCGTGATAAATTAGTTATCACGTCTGTTTCTATTTCAGTTCGTCGTGTGAAATTATATAATACGTCGTTTGTGTATAAATAACCGTCGTTTGTTTTATATATTTAGGTGCTTATATGATCTTTTGAGAGAAGCAAATATGTGCAGCATGGTTGGCTTTATCGACCCTGCTCAAGTTAGTGCCAACGCTGGGTCACTAACTGACAGATCACGAATTGTAGCCAGTCGACTTCAGAAAACAGATGGTGAACAGATTTTCATGATGCCTTACAATCCAGGGTTAGTCTCCTTAAATGGATTTTGTTTGTATGATTTTCACTTATAAAACTGTTTAACTAATTCTGTGTCGTTTGAAACATCTAACCACGTCGGTTATTTATTTATACCATCGTTTGAAACAACTAACCACGTCGGTAGTTAATTCTCGTCGTGATAAATTTATAATCACGTCGATGATTAAGTTCTTACGTCGTGTGAAACTATATAATACGTCGGTTTTTATAAATAACCGTCGTTTTTTATTTTATTTTTGTGCAGCCGTCATTGGGTCTTGCTGATTGTGAGGGCAAAGAGGGAAACCGTCTATTTTCTGGATCCTCTGCCTGGAAATCGTGTGGTGGATGAGGAGGGCAAAAACATCGTGAACAGTGCTTTAAAAATTTATAATTCCCACATAGGCAGACCAGGCCGTAAAGCACCAATTTGGAAAACTCTGCCAGGCACACCAAAGCAACCCAGCAGTGTCGAATGCGGGTATTATGTCATGCGCTTCATGAGGGACATCATCATGGATCCTTCCTTGGAGTTTGAGAAGAAGGTAAGAAAAAAATTTTCAGAAACATTTTATTTGGTTTTTGTATTATCAACGACGGTCATTTAAAATTACCGTCGTTGAATCGATAGACTACGTCGGTTATAAAAAAAACGTCGTCTGTGACTGAATTTCTTTTTATTTTGTAAAGCTTAATAATCGTTGTTTATGGATTGCAGTTTGCCAAGGGAAAAGATCAAGCGCCATACCCCCCAAGCAGCCATTGATGAAGTCAGGAAAGAATGGGCAGAGTTTGTTTGCCTTCATATGGATTAGAGGATTTTTGGAACACTTGATATTTTTATATGTACTAATTTTGTCTATAATATATATAATGTACAAATTTTGTCTATAATATACATCCTTTTTTTCCCTGAAAATTTGCAGAGGTTTTCATATTATAAAAGAAAAAACAATTTGCTGAGGTTTTCATATTATAAAAGAAAAAACAATTTGCTGAGGTTTTCATATTTTACACATATATAATTTATGGTTTTAAAGTTTAGGGTATTACTTTTAACGACGGTGATTGAGTCGTGGAATATTGAGTTTACGTCGTATGGTGAAAAATACGACGTGGTTTCTTTTTTAAACGACGTTTTGTTTACCTGTTAGTCGTTTATTATTGTTTACAACGTCGTTAGTTACTTAACCCCGCCGTGGTTTGTTGTTGATATAAGAATATTTTATTATTTTTAATTCAAAATTTTAAAAATAAATTTAAAATAAATTCAAAAAATTCAACTTCAACTCCTATGAAGTCATTGATATATTTTCTTCCCCCTAAACCCCAAAAAAATGCAGTTTGTGTAATGAAAGTTTAAAATGACCAACCAAAATAAAATTGTTTTTATGAGTCATAGCATCACTTATATAGTTTGATGGTTTAGGGTTTAGGTTTTAGGGTTTGGGGTTTAGGGTTGTTATTTATTAGGGTTTATGGATAAAGTATAATTTTTGGGGTTTAGGGTTTATGCTTGTTATTTATTAGGATGTAAAACCATAAACAATTTTATAAAATTAAATTTTACAAATATATAATTTATGGTTTTAAAGTTTAGGGTATTACTTTTAACGACGGTGATTGAGTCGTGGAATATTGAGTTTACGTCGTATGGTGAAAAATACGACGTGGTTTCTTTTTTAAACGACGTTTTGTTTACCTGTTAGTCGTTTATTATTGTTTACAACGTCGTTAATTACTTAACCCCGCCGTGGTTTGTTGTTGATATAAGAATATTTTATTATTTTTAATTCAAAATTTTAAAAATAAATTTAAAATAAATTCAAAAAATTCAACTTCAACTCCTATGAAGTCATTGATATATTTTCTTCCCCCTAAACCCCAAAAAAATGCAGTTTGTGTAATGAAAGTTTAAAATGACCAACCAAAATAAAATTGTTTTTATGAGTCATAGCATCACTTATATAGTTTGATGGTTTAGGGTTTAGGGTTTAGGGTTTGGGGTTTAGGGTTGTTATTTATTAGGGTTTATGGATAAAGTATAATTTTTGGGGTTTAGGGTTTATGCTTGTTATTTATTAGGATGTAAAACCATAAACAATTTTATAAAATTAAATTTTACACATATATAATTTATGGTTTTAAAGTTTAGGGTATTACTTTTAACGACGGTGATTGAGTCGTGGAATATTGAGTTTACGTCGTATGGTGAAAAATCCGACGTGGTTTCTTTTTTAAACGACGTTTTGTTTACCTGTTAGTCGTTTATTATTGTTTACAACGTCGTTAGTTACTTAACCCCGCCGTGGTTTTTCATAGTTTTAACGCCTTTTTTGATTTTGCGTGGTACATAGTTTTACCACGACGTCCTTAATGTAATAAGCGTCATCTTTAATGTTCAATTTTAACGACGCTTGTATTTTCGGTCGATGTTTTAAAAAGCGCGCTTTCTTAAAATATTCGCGGGACCTAAAATTTTCAGATTTGGCTCTTATTTTTATACTTCTAACCCTGAACCCTAAAATTTTCTGATTTCGCGCAACATAACATTTCGCTCTCTCACTTCATCTCTAATTCAAAGTTGGGCCAGGCTGTGTCAAATCCAATTTGGTCATAATCTGTGAGCTCTGCCAACCTGTAAGTACAAACCCTCTCTTCCCCTTGTAAATTCATTGAATGATATATTACGGTGTTTTGTTAAAGGGTTTTAGGTATATGTTTTGCGATCTGTTAATAATGTTGTTGGAGGTATGGGTTCATGGATTTTCTGTTTAATGTTTTCTTGATCACTCTCTGTTATGTTGAATATGGAATGGATTTCATTTTGTCGGATCTTTTAATCACTCTCTGTCATGTTGAATTGGGAATGGATTTATTGTTTTCATGCTTAGTATATGTTGGTTTCATGTATATGTTGGTTTCTTGCTTGGTTTCATGTCTATGTTGTGTTCTTAATAGGGTTTTGGGATCTTGAAAATAAACTGGATATCGACGCGTTTTCAGGCATACGACGACGGTTTTTACTTTAAACCGTCGTTTTTATTACTTATACACGACGGTGTTATTTAACTACCGTCGTGGTTACAATTAGACGACGTAAAATCCGTCGTCTATATATGTCAAATACGTCTGTTTTTGTTTAAAAAACCGTCGTCTCTGTTGTATATTACTTGCTATTAGACTTTATGTAATCTGCTATAGTGATGGTCATTGCTTGTCTTTTCACTTTATTATATATAATAGGGTATAGTGTCGGAGATGGATAAGTCATGGATGCACTCGGATAGAAGATCGAAGGCATATGAGTTAGGGGTGGAAGCATTTTTGAACTTTTCTGTAGAAAATCTTCTAACTACCACACATATCCGTTGTCCATGTGTTAAATGTGTTAATTTGAAATTGTTTGGGGTTGGAATTATAAGGGATCACTTATACTTTAATGGAGTTGACCAAAGCTATAAGAATTGGACATTTCACGGAGAACCTTGGGAAGCAGCTACTAATGCTAGTAGAAATGTTGAAGAAGATGATGACCATAGTAGGTACAGTTTTGTGTCTGAAGAAATAGAGATGGATGATAATGATTTTGGTGATTTTGGATCTGATCCTTATGAGTTTGCCAATGTGATTGGGGATGGAGATCAACCATTGTACCCTGGTTGTAGAAAGTACACGAAGTTATCGGCATTAGTGAAGTTGTATAATTTGAAGGCAAAATATGGGATGAGTGATGTCTGTTTTACAGAATTATTGATACTTCAAGGCGATTTGCTTCCAGACGGAAATACAATACCGGCCTCTATGTATGAGGCAAAAAAGACTTTGTGTGCATTGGGGCTGAGTTATGAGAAAATGCACGCATGCCCCAATGATTGCATCTTGTATAGGAAGGAGTATGAGGATTTAACTCATTGTCCTAATTGTGGTATCTCAAGGTGGAAGGAAGGCAAAGATTCAATCTTGAAAGAGGGTGTGCCAGCGAAGGTGGTGTGGTATTTTCCTCCAATTCCAAGGTTTAAAAGGATGTTTCGATCACATGAGACCGCTAAGAGTTTGACTTGGCATGCTGCTAGAAAATCAATTGACGGTTATATGTCTCATCCAGCGGATTCCCCGTCTTGGAAACTTCTTGATGATAAATGGCCCGAGTTTGGTAATGAGCCGAGAAACTTGAGATTGGCTCTTTCATCTGATGGATTCAATCCCCACAGTTCTCTAAGTAGCAGATATAGTTGCTGGCCAGTTATCTTAGTTACATATAATCTCCCTCCATGGCTGTGCATGAAACGAAAGTTCATGATGTTGACCTTATTGATTTCCGGTCCTAAACAGCCCGGAAATGATATAGACGTCTACTTGGAGCCTTTGATTGATGATTTAAAATCTTTGTGGGATGGGATTGGAGGAGTGTATGATGCACATAATGGAGAATACTTTACACTCAGAGCTGCATTAATGTGGACAATTAATGATTTCCCCGCCTATGGAAACTTATCTGGTTGTGTTGTTAAAGGATATAAAGCTTGTCCAATATGCGGCGATGATACACCTAGTCACAGGTTGAAAAATGGCCACAAAATTTGTTACATTGGGCATAGAAAATGGTTACCGATCAATCATCCATATAGGAGGCAACGTGCAGCTTTTAATGGGAAACCTGAATATGGCACGCCTCCTGAGCCATTAACCGGAGAAGAAGTGCTGCATATGGTTGAAGATGGTGACAGAGTTTGTTGGAAGAAGAAATCAATATTCTTTGATCTCGAGTATTGGAAATACCTTCCTGTGAGGCATGTCCTAGATGTTATGCACATTGAGAAGAACGTTTGCGATAGTATCATTGGTACATTGCTGGAGATCCCTGGAAAAAATAAAGATGGGATTGCTGCTCGATTAGATTTATTGAACATGGGGGTCAAAATTGATTTGCAACCCGAGTATGGAGAAAGACGTACTCGTTTGCCTCCCGGGCCTTGGAATTTGTCAAGAGCAGAGAAGAGAGAGGTTTGCAATTCTTTCTATGGTATGAAGGTCCCTGAAGGTTATTCTTCAAATATAAAAAATCTTGTATCTTTACAAGATTCAAGACTTCTTGGCCTTAAATCACATGATTGTCATACCTTAATGCAACAATTGCTCCCTGTGGCAATTCGTTCTGTTTTGGAGAAGCCTGCAAGGTATGCAATAACTCGTTTGTGCTTCTTCTTCAATGCTATATGTGCAAAGACTGTTGATGTTTCCAAGCTAGATAAGTTGGAAGAAGATGTAGTAGTTACTTTGTGTTTGCTTGAGAAGTACTTTCCCCCTTCATTCTTTGATATCATGGTTCATCTAGTAGTACATCTTGTCAGAGAAGTTCGTCTGTGTGGGCCAGTATATTTTAGATGGATGTATCCGTTTGAAAGATATATGAAAGTGCTAAAGGGGTATGTTCAGAATCGTACTCGTCCCGAAGGTTGCATTGCTGAGCGGTATATAGCTGAAGAAGCTGTAGAGTTTTGTACCGAGCATTTATCTGATGTTAGTACAGTTGGAGTGCCTTCAAGCCAAAAGATGGGAGTTTCAAAGCCATTATCAGGTTGCACAGTGAGCGTAGTTGATCGGGACCTGTTGAACCAAGCACATCTATATGTCTTGGAGAATACGGAGGAAGTCCTACCTTATATCGAGTACGTATGAGTTTTATTCTTTAAGTTTCCATTTTAAATTATTTCTTATGTTTATCTTATATGTTTGGGATCGTAATACTTGAATTTTGTGTGTCATGTAGGCAACATATGATCCACATCCAGACCGCTTATCCAAAATTTAGAAAGAGAACAAAGTGGCTGCAGGATAAGCACAATAGCACTTTCATTCAATGGCTACGCTTCAAGGTATATGTTATTGAATAACATATTGGACTTTTAATTTTCTTCTTCCTGTGTGAGATTGAATTAAGTTATGATTAATTTGCAGGTTCAAAGTGAACTTAATGAGGAAGACAATCATGGCGTATCAGAAAATTTAAGGTGGCTAGCAGCTGGTCCAAACATGGCAGTGCCATTATATAGGAGCTATCTCATTAAAGGTATTAAATTCAACATCAAGGCACAAGATGATGTGCGGACAACTCAAAATAGTGGAGTTTATTTACTTGCACATACTATGCAAGTTGCTAGTGCCAAGGATAAAAACCCAATTATCTCAAATATGGGTTTCTATGGTGTCATTCAAGAAATTTGGGACCTTGACTACCAAAAGTTTACAATCCCAGTCTTTAGGTGTGATTGGATTGATAATACTTCTGGTCTTGTAGTGGACGAACTTGGATTTACCCTTGTAGATTTGAGTAAAATTGGACATAGGAATGACCAATTTGTTTTGGCTTCTCAAGTCAAACAAGTATTTTTTGTTGACGACCCGATGCATCGTGGTTGGTCGGTAGTGTTATCAATGCCTAATAGAGAATATAATGATGTTATTGGTGATGATGTCTTAGGTGATGTGAGAATTGAGTGTGAGCCATTTACTAGGGGGATGCCAAATGTTGACACATTTGATGAAGTGGTGGTTGAGTTAGGGAGTCAAAATATTCGAGATGGGTGTGAAGATATATGGGTTGAATGATGCTTTATGTAATTGGCAGTGTATGACATTAATTTTGTAATATATTGTAATGTGATTTCTTCACTTTCATTATACAGGTTTTGGCCACAAAACAATCAGTACAAAAATTACTGGTTCCAGATTACAAACACGACGGTTTTGATAAAGAACCGCCATGTAATTCAATATAACACGTCTCCAATCCCATAACACCGACGTCTAAAAGACGAGAACTTTAACCTGAACGTTACAAAAGACGACGTCGTCATGAATTTACCACGTCGCATGTTCTTTCATAAACGAAGTGGAAAAGGATGAATTCACGACGGTATTTGAAATCCATTAAATTTGTCGACGTTAAGATTTATGAATTAGACGACGTTAATTTTTTAATAAAGACGTATAAATTATTAAACACGACGGTCTTTTTCATGGTACCGACGTTGTATATAAACGACAACGTCGTCCTCATAAATTACTGTGTCGTAATTAATGACCCCATCATTTTTTCCACGTCGTTTATTTTCAAAATATGACGCATAAATTCTGTAATACGGCTCTCATTTATTTGGAACCGACGTTGTTTATTCATTTCAACGTCGTCTCAGTAAATACATACGTCGTAATTAATGAACCTGACATCTATTTCCACGTCATAATTCGTAGAAAAATCGAAGTGGAAAATTTATTTTACGACGGTATTTGAAGTCCATTAAACTTGTCGACGTTAAGATATATGCATTAGACGACGTCAATTTTTTAAATGAAGACGTATAAATTATTAAACACGACGGTCTTTTTCATGGTACCGACGTTGTATATAGACGACAACGTCGTCCTTATAAATTACTGTGTCGTAATTAATGACCCCATCATTTTTTCCACGTCGTTTATTTTCAAAATATGACGTATAAATTCTGTAATACGGCTCTCATTTATTTGAAACCGACGTTATTTATCAATTCAACGTCGTCTCTGTAAATACATGCGTCGTAAGTAATGACCCTGAGATCTATTTCCACGTCATAATTCATAGAAAAATCGAAGTGGAAAATTTATTTTACGACGGTTGTGGGAAATGTTGTGACGTAGTAGGTGTCAATAACGTCGTCTATTATTATTGTAAAGACGTCGTATTTATATTTGTCGTTAAATATTTGTTTAACGGCGTCAAGTTTAAGTTCTCGTCGTTGTATGTTTATCTTGCGGCCATGTTCTGTTAATATATGTCATCTGTTTCCTTTTTAACGACGTTTTTTTGTTGGAGTTGGTCGTCTATTCTCATCCTCGACCCTTTTTTTTTATGTCTTTTTGCAGCACAAAGACGTCGGTTTTTATTTTTTGATGACGTTTTTTGTTTTAACAACGACGGTTATTCACCGTCGTGGTTTGGTTATGGAAAAGATGTCGGTGGATTCCACGACCATTTGAAAACATAATACACGACGGTGATTTACCGTCGTGTTTTTCCTTTTTTGTAGTAGTGACAGTATGCTGATTATTTGCTGATATGCTCTACGTTTTACTTGTTTGGCAGATTGGGGACCGAAGGTTGATGTTGTTGTTTTTTGTTCACTTGCGGAGTGGCTTGTAGCTGGTGAACAGCCTGTCTATATTGGATTTGATAGCCTTGTGAGTTTGTTGCAGCTTTCTCTATTCATGTTTAATATTCTTTTCCCAGTTCTATTCATGAGAATACAGTATGCTAATTGTGGGAGCAAATATTTTCGTCTCCAATCACAGCGAGCCACGTGGAAAAGAAGATTATCTCTTAAATTAATTAATTGAACCAGTTTATCTGGCCAATTAATTAATTGGAATAAATATCTTAATTAATATGATATTATCTTTATTTAATAAGATAATATCATTAATTCATATATTATCCTAATAAAGAGAGGATAATATCATTAATTCATATATTATCTTCATAAAAAGAGATAATATCATTTAATTCATATATTATCTTCGTAAAAAGAGATAATATTATTAAATCAGATATTATCTAAGTCTGACTTGATCCCTACGAATTTGGGTAGAGAATAAACTCAGCATATTCTCTACGAAACCCTAGCCCCGACGCTCCTATAAATAGATGACTTCGTTCATCATTCAAGGTACATCTAAACCATCCTAAACCCAAGAAAAATACCCGAAGCTCTCTCTCTCTCTCCACTCTCCATATTTTCTCCACACGGCTCCGGCCACCACACACGGCTCCGGCCGCCCGGTTCACACCATACATACAACTCCGTACCCTTTGCTTAGCTATTATTTTCCTACAAACACTATAACTAACTTAGGCATCGGAGGGCCTTTGGCCAACACCCCTCGGGTGTGGTCTATTTACTCTAGTCTTTTTTACATGAAACGAGGAAGAGAGAGAAGGAAGATCAAAAATTGAAAGATCTAGAAACGAATATTCTCCCGCGAGATTATTTGCACAAACATTTGGTGCTTTCATTTATAGCACGAGTTATACTCAACGCGTGCTCAAGGAATCCGTTCGTCATATTTTCCAATCCACCGAAGCCTTCCAAACAACCATGGTTGGAAGCAAGCGCACGAGGAGCAAAACCGCCATAATGGCTCAATCCGTGACGGCCCAAAGATACTTCTCCCACGATCCCGCAATCAACATGGCGGCTCCACCTCTTCTCGCCGCCATGAACACGCAGCAAACCCTAGCTGCTGCACCACAGCAGCCACCCCGTGTGACTGGAACCACCGCACCTGCCTCTACCGTCGTCGTACCATCTCAAGGTCCCGTGGCCGGATCTAGCCACCTTCATAGCACCGCCACCGAGCATGGTGGAACCTCCCATCAAGATGGACTCACTACCACCGCCGACTTTGGCCCAATCTTGGAGCAACTTCAAGCATTCCCTCCATTGCCTCCACGCTCGACGCACTCTCCCACGTACACATCTAATGAAACCCTAGCCCGTGTGCAATTGGGCTCCACACATTTCTCTCATCCCGATCCATGAAGTCAAGTAGACCTTAATCTGAGAGTTGACCAGCTAACTCAGAGAATGGACGACCAAAACAATTTGATGAGGCAACTCCTCACTAAATAAACTTGGCTCAAAACCTTGGCCTTGGACAATAGGGCGAAGAGAGAAGGATGGACAAGCGCGCCGATAGGCAGTTCAATGGGAACCAAGCAGGTCAAGCAGGAGTAAGCAGACAAAGAGATGGACAACAACGGGATCAGCTTGCCGACATGTCACAAGCATCTGCAAGCCACAATCAAAGCAGACGAAGTCTCCCATCCATATCGAACTTAAGGACAAACATGCGCGATAGGCTGGGCCCACAACTTGCCATCCACGCTCGCCTGGGCCCGCAGAGAAATATTCACGAAAGGCTAGGCCCCCAGGGCGGTCAACCTGGTAACCCGCACAATGAGGACTGTGAAGAAAGGCACTCCACTGACCACTCTCGAAGAATCAATTCCCATCGCCAAGTTACAGAAAATCCCTCACAAGCACAGTCCACCAACACGCCGCCTAGGCAGCGCAGCCGAGAAGGTCGACCCTTGCAAACCAACGAGGAAGTTAATCAGCCTCACCCAAATCGTAAAGGCCATCAACGTGACCGACCAGCCATGTGTGCGGAAGACGTTGAGAAGCTTGTGAATAACCGACTTCGAGACTTAAAGATTGGCGGAAATTTTGAAGATGCACTACACGTGGAGATAGACCGAGAAAACTCCTCACCTTTCACCGCCAAAATCAAGCAAGCTGCTTCCTCGAAATTGTTTGTGCCTAATAAATCACGGTCATAAACTGATTGAAGGGACTTCATTTCGGCCCTAGCGCCTACCGTTTTGTCAAGCATTTCGCCTTCCTGAAAACAAAAGAAAAGCTGTAAAGGCAGAATCTTCTCGGCATCGCGACCGCAGTTTCGAAGGCCAAGGCCGAAGGAGCAGTGGGTAAGTCGCCACGTGGCCTTAGGGTCCCACGCCCCATTTAATGAAGTAATGCCTCTTAGTTTCGCAGCAAACCCACTAGTCGCAAGAGGCATTTAATGCACAAGGGAAGAAGGGAAGTGATTGAAGTCAGGATTTGGTGATGGAAATCAGGGTTGTTAGGCGCAGACATTCTCACAAGTAATCTCACAACTTGAGGTCAGATCACCAACCACCAGACCAGGGCATTAAATGCGTTCCCACGACCAAGGGGGCAGAACCCACAATCAGGGCAGTGGTTGAGATTTATCAAGATTTATGGGGGTCACACCACCATGCTTCTCAACCCCAAACCACCATGCTTAACGATCCCAAATGCCGATTTGACTACCCACTTGCCCGGTCAGGCTCCACCACGCAGGTCTTGTCGGCCTCGATTGTCCCTCCAGGACTCCTATAAATACTAAGCTCAAGACTACGTTCAAAGGGTTCAAACACCAAACCAAAAGCCTCCCACGGAGCAAATTATATTTTCCTGTAATGCACTTTCAATACCTTTATTTGCTTTCTAGGAGTAGTGGTAGATTGTAAGGAAAATCCATTCATCAATATATCATACGACCCTTGATTTTCAAGGCGTCGAAGCACCATCTCTGTTATCGTCTCATTCACCCCATATATCATACGACCGTAGCTCTCTGAGCAACACGCCGGAGCACCGCCCAAAACCCGCCACCAACACCACCACTAAACGGCCTTGTAGCTCAGGCAGTGAACCTGACGGCCGAGATCAGTTCCTCTCTCAGCCACAATCGTTTGATTAGGAGTCGAACGCAAAACAGGCGCAACATTTAAACCATCTTCTACCCAAACCTCATTATCATCTCGACGCACGGTAGACCGTGCTGGCACGCCCGCGCACAACCGCACCGCATCCAAAAGAAGGACGTCACGTGTTGACGCACATCCCCTCGGCCCGGAGCACCAGGCCGTGAGATTCGCGACAGCCAACAGAAATGATTCTCAACGCCCTCTTTCACATGCTTCGAAGGGGATTCCGATCCTGAAAGCCATCTAAATCATTTCAAGAGCTTTATGATCCTCTACAAAGTTGAAGATGCGCTAATGTGCAAGGTGTTTACAATGACTTTGCAGGGAGCATCTCAGGACTGGTTCAATACCCTGCCATTCGGGTCGATCAGCAGCTTCAAGGAGCTTACTTACATCTTCACTAAAGAATACACTTCTTATCGGAAAATCAAGAAGAACTGACCATCTGTTCAACCTGCACAAGAAGCCCGATGAATCCCTCCGAGACTACATCAAGAGGTTCAAAGCGGAGAGGGCAAACATTGTAGGATGTGATGACCAAATTATGTCATCCGCCTTCAAGAGGGGGTTGCCTTCAAGAGGGGGTTGCCATCTCTCCTTGCCAAACATTGGTAGAAGTCTTCGCTATAGCAGAGCGCTACGCACTATAGGACGACAACCGAATCGCCACAAAGAAGGCTGATCAAGTAGCTGAGTAGGCAAGCCAAGAGAACGGCAAGCGCAGATCACAGCCTCAGGAAGGTGCTCCAGCAACGGAGAGCTACACCAAGTTCACTATCTTGATACACCATATCCTGGCCCAAGTAAAGGACATGCCTTGGTTGAAAAAACCATCGCTTTTAAAGGGAAACCCAACCAAGAATGATACCAGTAGATACTGCACATTCCATGAAGGGCACGGTCATTACACAAACGACTGCTTCGCTTGGAAAAGGCACCTCGAAGATCTAGTCAGAGACGGCCATTGCACGAAATTCATCGCAAGGAGGGCTATATATCCAGCAAATCAAAGATTATGACGCAGCTAACGATGAACCTCCACGAAAATAGTCATATGGATCAACACGATTCTAGCTGACTCCAAGAGTCCGGACTGACCACTAGGGGGCAGAAGAGAAAGATCAAGTAGGTGACTTCCGTCTCCCAAGCCATCACTAGCTACCAAGTTATGGAAGACGAACCTTTCATCATCTTTCAATGGAAGGAAGTTCTAAGATAATAGAATACCCATCACCTCCAGGGGTACTATCCATGAAGCTCCTCACCTATCAGCTCGACTCTAAGCAGGCGGCCAAGCCTTCCTCACCTCCATTGAAGACAAGTTATTTTTGATGTTACTCATGTACTTATCTTTTTTGTTCAATAAAGCAATGTAGTCACACAAACATCAATACAAGTTCAAGCTTTTCTTTCCAATGGAGTGTTCACAAAAGCAATCGACACGTCTCTGGATGTAAGCCAAATGGGCCACTCTCATCGACACGTCTCCGAACATAGGCCAAGTGGGCCACTATCATCGACACGTCTCCGGACGTAGGCCAAAAAGGTCACACATTGACACAATGCCAGAAAATGTTATTGGTTAATTCAAACATTAAGAATTGAAATTATTAATTAAATGAGGATAATATGGTAAATTCACATTTTTTCATATTAAAAAAAATTAAAATTAAAAACAAATAAGATAATAGGTCATACTTTTATGGAACATAACTACCCATGTTATCTTTTCTTAATTCTAAAAATAAAATAAAAAATAAAAAAGAAAACCAATTGGCACATGCGTGAGGATGTGCCAAGGGGCTTGTAATTACTAATGAAAGTAACTAAATCAACATAAGATATTATTCAATTACTGAAAAGAATTTTTTTTAAAAAAAATTATTGACCTAAAGATAGAAAGTTTGTATTTATTTTTTTAAGAAAACCTATCCCGATGAAATTTCATCGGCAGAGGTCTGCGCACCTGTGCCGACAAAGTCCGGGAAATTTCGTCAGGAGAGGATGTTTTGCTTTTTATTTTTAAAATTTTAAAATGAAATTAGTTTCTTTACTCTTTTTTTTGGCCAACTTCTTTAATTTAATACATGTAATTAGGTAATACCTTAGCCTTTTTTTAATTACTTTAATTAGCAATTATGTTTTAACTATTATTTATTTAGTGAATATTTAAATATTTTACTGATTTCATAAATTACTTGGTAAATAGTAATTAATTGTTTTGAATTATTTTGTGGACTTTGTTTTTCTTAAAATACATGCATACTTGTACAATACGTGTATTATACTTTTGCTTTCATTAAAATGAGTCTTTTAAAACGTATGCGGAAAACATAAGTATTATTGAAAAATATGTACGTACGTGTATAATACGAGTATTAAATAGGGAAATGTTAATTCTTTATACATGTAATAACTCTAGGAAAGTAAAACAAACAAAAGGGGACAATAGCTATACCTTGGTAATGGCCTAAACGCAATGGATGTGGCTCCAGACTAGTCTTATCGACAAAGCAAAATCAGGGAGAAAAAATTTTAAAAACAAAAAGGCGTCCTGTAAATATTTAAAGGGTATAGCCGTGCGGCTATACTCCACAAATAGAATATTTTAAACGTACAGCCGCCCGGCTATACTCTATAACTACCACAATCTGAATTTCTCTTTTTTAATTACTTATGTTTTAATTATTGTTTACTTAGTGAATAATTAGTATTTAATACTAATTATTCACTAGAGAAATAATAGTTAGAACATAATTACTTATGAAAGTAATTAAATCAGCCTAAGATATTATTCAATTACTGAAAAGAATTTTTTTTTAAAAAAATTATTGACCTAAAGATACCAAGTTTATATTTATTTTTTAAAGAAAACCTCTCCCGACGAAATTTCGTTGGCAGAGGTATTTTCGTCGAGAGAGGTTTGCGCACCTATGCCGACGAAATTTTGTGAAATTTTGTCAGGAGAGGTTGTTTTGCTTTTTATTTTTAAAATTTTAAAATATGAAATTAGTATCTTTACTTTTGTTTTTTGGCCAACTTCTTTAATTTAATACACGTAATTAGGTAATACCTTAGCCTTTTTAAAAAAACTATTTTAATTAGTAATTATATTTTAATTATTATTTATTTAGTGAATATTTAAATATTTTACTGATTTCGTAAATTACTTGGTAAATAGTAATTAATTGATTTGAATTATTTTGTGGACTTTGTTTTTTGTTCTTTGATATTGAATAATTATTCAAATACGTGCGTACTTGTACAATACGTGTACTATCCCTTTGCTTTCATTATAACGAGTCTTTTAAGACGTATATGGAAAACGAAAATATTATTAAAAAAATACGTACGTACGTGTATAATAAGAGTATTAAATGGGGAAATGCTAAATTCTTTATACGAGTAATAACTCTGGGAAAGTAAAAAAAACAAAAGGGGACAATAGCTATACCTTGGCAATAGCCTAAACGTAATGGATACTGCTCCAGACTAGTTTTATCGACAAAGGAAAATCAGGGAGAAAAATTTTTAAAAACAAAAAGCAAAATTTTTTATTACAAATAAATTTTTTTTAGAGAAAAAAAAATGAAATCCAATTTTTGTTTAAGTCACGACGGCAGAGGCCGGCGCGGTGGTTCCAGTCACACGAGGTGGCTGCTATGGTGCAGCAGCTAGGGTTTGCTGCGGGTTCATGGCGGCGAGAGGAGGTGGAGCCGCCATGTTGATCGCGGCATCGTGGGAGTAGTATCTTTGGGCAGTCAAGGATTGAGCCATTGTGGCGGTTTTGTTCCTCGTACGTTTGCTTCCAACTATGGTTGTTTGGAAGGTTTCGGTGGATTGAAAAATAGGACGAACAGATTCCTTGAGCACGCGTGCTATCAATGAAAGCACCAAATGTTTGTGCAAATAATCTCGCGGGAGAATATTCGCTTCTAGATCCTTCAACCTTCGATCTTCCTTCTCTCTCTTTCTCGTTTCCTGTAAAAAAGACTAGAGTAAATAGAGCACACCCGGGGGGTGTTGGCCAAAGGCTCTCCGATGTCTAAGTTAGTTATAGTGTTTGTAGGAAAATAATAGCTAAGCAAAGGGTACGGAGTTGTATGTATGGTGTGAACCGGGCGGCCGGAGCCGTGTGTGCTGGCCGGAGCTGTGTGGAGAAAATATGGAGAGTGGAGAGAGAGAGAGAGCTTCGGGTATTTTTCTTGGGTTTAGGAGTAGATTTAGATGTACCTTGAATGATGAACGAAGTCATCTATTTATAGGAGCGTCGGGGCTAGGGTTTCGTAGAGAATATGCTGAGTTTATTCTCTACCCAAATTCGTAGGGATCAAGTCAGACTTAGATAATATCTGATTTAATAATATTATCTCTTTTTACGAAGATAATATATGAATTAAATGATATTATCTCTTTTTATGAAGATAATATATGAATTAATGATATTATCCTCTCTTTATTAGGATAATATATGAATTAATGATATTATCTTATTAAATAAAGATAATATCATATTAATTAAGATATTTATTCCAATTAATTAATTGGCCAGATAAACTGGTTCAATTAATTAATTTAAGAGATAATCTTCTTTTCCACGTGGCTCGCTGTGATTGGAGACGAAAATATTTGCTCCCACAATTAGCATACTGTATTCTCATGAATAGAACTGGGAAAAGAATATTAAACATGAATAGAGAAAGCTGCAACAAACTCACAAGGCTATCAAATCCAATATAGACAGGCTGTTCACCAGCTACAAGCCACTCCGCAAGTGAACAAAAAACAACAACATCAACCTTCGGTCCCCAATCTGCCAAACAAGTAAAACGTAGAGCATATCAGCAAATAATCAGCATACTGTATTCTCATTTGGTCAAGCTGCTGGTCTATTTCTACCACATCAAATCATATTCCCTAGGCTTCTGCAATATTATCAGCATATTATTGCTATAACAAGAAGAAGCCCATGTAATAAGATATGCTTAATAATCCAAAGCCACCATGAGGATTCTGAAATGACCATGAATCTCTATCATATCTTCAGCAAGAAATTAAAAAAAAATGGTCTGAGTAATGGCATAATGCATCTTCTGGTACTCTTTCTCCATATTAAATGAAATTATGACTTTAGTTTACTTTTTAATGAAATAAATTACCTCGAAGATTCATAAACTAGTGGAGGGATCTAGTAGACAGTAGATTGTGAAATTATTCACATACATTTTTAGCCAACGATATTATCAGCATACTTTAAAGCAAAGAGCTCTCATAGCAGATGCTGCACGTGCCCTGGACAAAGCAAAAATTATGCCGCACGGCTATACTTTGTAATTACATTCAAATATTTTAAAAGTACAGCTGAGCGGCTATACTCTTTAAATACATTCCGGCGAACACGAAGCTTGCACTCGCAGACGACGGAACTTTCTCTCCCAGTCACTGCTTCGTCCTCCGGGTTCGGCACCGAAAAAAGACCCAACCCGCCCAGGCGCCCGCCTAGCCACCACCTAGCCTCCAAGCCACCGCCTAGCCACCGCCTAGCCGCCTAGCACCCGCCTAGCGACCGCCTAGCCGCCTAGCACCCGCCTAGCGACCGCCTAGCCGCCTAGCCCCCGCCTAGCCGCCCGCCTAGGCCGACTTTTCAGTTCTCGCTCTCCAGCATCCAAACGCCTTCTCTCT